ATGATGGGGGTCCCAGCCCAGGAATGATGGGGGGTCCCAGGCCAGCCCAGGAAGAGATGATGGGGGTCCCAGCCCAGGGATGATGGGGGTCCCAGCCCAGGGGGGAGATGGGAGACCCACCCCAGATGGGATGATGGGGACCCCCGCCCAGCCCAGGCAGAGGTTGTGGAGTCCCAGCCTGGGGATGACGGGGATTCCAGCCCAGATGGGATGATGGGGATCCCAGTCCAGCCCAGCCCATCCCGGGGAGGCCTCTGGGAATCCCATCCCTGCTCCCCTCCCTTACCCGGAGTCTCCTGCGCTCCGAACTCGCGGGGGCGGGAGCGCAGGAAGGAGGTGGGTGCGCTGGGATAGGCCCACTTGTCCGCCCTCTCCGGGGCATAATGCGCTGGGGAGGGACAGGGGGGTGAGCCGCGGGCACGGCCGGGGGGTCCCCGGCCCCGGGGGGGTGTCCCGGCCCCCGCTGACCTGGCCCGGGGGTCTTGCTGGCGGTGTCGGCGCGGGGGCGGCCGCAGATTGTGTGTGCGGGGATGCCGTCCTGGCCGCGGTGGGTGAGGCCGGGCCGCACCAGGTACTGGGGCCCGGGGGAGCGGCTCTCCTGCTCCGCCGGCAGCCGCAGCCCGAAGGTGTAGGCGGGGGCGCGGCTCCGGGTGGGGTCGTGCTGGTTGTAACCTGGGGGTGTAACCTGCTGGTGTAACGCCTGGGGCAGCGCCCCGGCCTCCCGAGCCCCCCCTCCCGCGCCCCCCACTCACCGACGTTGCCGGGGACCCCGTACTTGGGGCCGGGGGTGCGGTACTGGGCGGAGATGGGCCCCCGGGGGCGGTGGGGTCGCCAGGAGCCCACCCAGCCGTTGTCGGACATGGCGAGTCCCGATGGAAGCGCCCCCTCCTCAGCCTGGCCCCCCCGCCCGGGAGATGTGGGTGCCAGAGCCCAGCTGCCCACGGTGGGCGCTGTGTGGCAGCAGCGGTGCCGGCGTGCGGTGGTGGCACCGGCAGCGTGGTGACTGTGGCACGGCGGCGGCGGCACCGGCACCGGCACCGGCGCCGCCGGCGCGGTGACCGCGGTGTCACAATGGACCGGGGCTTCCAGGGCTCCAAACCCCCGCGCCGACCCCCGGCACCGCCGTGCTCGGCACCCCCGGGGGCGGCAACACCGGGAACCGCAGGGAAGGAACGCCGGGAACAGCGCGGGTACAGCCCCGGCACCTCGGGGATGCAGCCCCGGCATCGCACGGAGAAACTCCCGGCACCCCGTGGGTACATCCCGGCACCCCGGGAATACAGCCCCGGCATCCCATGGATGTAGCCCCCAGCATCCCGGGAATACAGCCTCGGCATCCCATGGATGCAGCCCCCAGCATCCCGTGA